AAGAATCCCCGGTTGTCACGGGATTTGATAATTGTGGTACTGATAGGGAACCTGAGATCATCAACGAAGGCAAGCCTCGGTTTATGCATTAAACCATTACCTTGTTTACTTTGAAAAGTTTATCACCTATGTTACTTATTGCATTAAGTTGATTTATTCAAATGTTACCTACTTGATGCATTGCCTACCTTGTTGATTGTTCACCATCCTTGAAGATGATTTCATTTACAAAGGCGTAGAATTGCTTAGTATGCTTTATGGTAGGTTTTCAAAGTAAAAGTTTCGATACACTCAAAGATGGCATACTGGCCAAAGAAAGAAAGAAAGAAGATAGAATGAACTAGAGACTAGTTGGGTGGCTTATCTTGAATGTTGGGTAATGTTGCCGACTATGTCGCTTAAAGGCCACTCATTGTGGATCTTTTGAACGAGACACTTTATAGTACTTGTCACATACTTCGGTAAGCCTACTTCGGCTAATCCGATACTAAGACGAATGCCCACGCACTAGGAGTGGTGAGATGGCGGGAGTAGCGTGTACCCTCATGGCTTGAATGTGGCTGGATTTGAGGCGTGCTGTGCTCTCGGGTGGCGTGGAGACGGCTTAGTACGGGAGGATCCGATAGCAAGGTTGATATATGCAAGATTAAGTTCTACATATGTCGTATGATAAGGAATCCCCAGCTGGGACTTGAATCAATTCAAATTGCCGGTGCTCCGCGGATATGGAGACTCGATTCATTACAGAAGCAATGCAGGACTAGTGAATTACTAAAACATGAGAAAAAGAATGGGATGAGAAGGATTGGAACATGGGATATGAACACTTGGTTGAAGATAATGAACTAAAGTACTTAGGGGTAAAACTTGAAACTAGGATCAAGAATAGTAAGCTTTTGGCAAAGAACTTTTGAATCTTTCTACATCCTTACCTTGACCCAACACCTGCATCCCTAAGACCTTCGCCCTTTTTCGTCGGGTCAGTCTTGTTGAGTACTTTTGTACTCAGGGTTTGTTAACCTTTGTTGCAGGTGAGTCGCATGTGCAGGCTTGTTTTGGTCCCTATTGCATGTCAGTGTTTGAAGTCGATGACGATGAGGAATGATGAATGGCCTTTGGACAAGGCACTAGTTTGTGTGAAATAAATAATGTTAATGTAATATTATCCCGCTACTATGGTTGTATGACAATTATGGTTTTGTAAGTTTAAAACAACTAGTTTGTAATATCAAAACTTAAGTCTTCCGCTTTATAATCTCTGGTATGTATATTGAAAACTGTTGTAATCTGCAATGACCGTGATTGGGATCCTGTTTGGAAAAGATTCGTGGATGATTTGGGTTTCCCGAGGACACCCGACAGACCTGTTAAGTTGTTGGGAACTTGTGCACGCTATCTGAGGTTTGTTGAGACATCGATAGGTGCACATGGGCCCAATTTCTTAAGAGGTTCTACCACACCAACCGCCCGCCTAGATCTCCGCGCCTACCACGACCTATCACCATGTCTCGTCATGGGGTGCACGCACGCAACCTATGACCGTCCCCTCGGAAAATGCATCGGACGTTCCGCCTCCCCAAACGGAACATGGCCCGTCATAGGTAAGAGGGATACCGAGCTAAAAACGCTCCTATGACCCGTCTAGGCCCAGGAGTTCGAAGGTGGGCCCATCATCGGGTTCGACAATCGCTCCGGACACCTTTAGAGTGAGGGGTGGGAAGGGATGGGCCCACCAATGGCCAGTACCCGAGCGCACAAGCACTGCGAGCATCCTGGCCCACGTTCGAGTCTCGGCCAGATATTATCCATGGTTTTTCTTCGAAGAAAGGCAGAGAGCCCTCGGGACCGGTCAAACGGATCCGAGAACTATATGGATTGACCACTAAGAATCTAGAGTCGGTCATCAGCTGACCCAAGGTGGACCCTCGCAAATAGGATGCCGAGGCTCCACTCAGACTAGCCCATTAATAGCTCACCAAGCACCATGATTCGTCCATAGAGGGAAATCATGGCATGGCTCAGCCTCTCCATTTTTATCGAAAAAATGCTTGAGGAAAGACAATCACAAAGAAGAATCGACCTCTGACCGGACCCCTGCTACGGGCGGGGGCTCGAGGAAAGTTGGACTCGTAAGGAGACCGAACGCGTGGTCGCAGAATGACAGACCCCCATAGGGGTTAGAATTAGGAAAGACCTTTTCCAACCCACCAAATCTCACGGCTATACCTTCAAGGGGTCCGATCATGACAAAAGGGAATCGCCGTCCTCAGAGTCCTCCCATCCAGAAAAACCTCCAAAGGAGTATTCTACTCCTCCGTAGGCTCAGGGGCTACTATCGGGGACAAATACTAGGGTACCCAAAGAGGAGGAGCTAATGGTCATCAACATTGATTCATCCGAGCAGTCAAGAGCGTGACTACAGCTCCAACCAACCCCAGGATGTGGGCTCCGCCTCGCCCAACCTTTGGGGAGGGCTCTATCTCGCCCGACCCCGAGGCCGCGGGCTCTGTCTTGCCTGACCCTTGGGTTTGTGCTCTGTCTCGCCTAACCCCTCGGGTCCGGGCTCCATCTCGCTCGACGGGGACCCATACCACCGCCAACCACTCCAGGTCCAAGCGTATGGGCCTAGGTTAAAACTCTAACACCAAGGAAGAGATCGACATGCCCCGATGTAACCCGTGGCCATGACAGGCCATTCCTGAGGATTCACATCAAGAACAGCGTCGGGCGTACCGGTGCTGTTCCGCCTAACCCTCCTACGAACACTGACAGGCGTGTCAGTTCACCACGACACCTGTCGGGACGGAATGGGACGCCATGACTAACAAATGACGCCTGCGCATAGTGCCAGTGACGAACAGGGCCACGACGTGGAGCCATCCCTGTTGACATCTATAGGGTCGGCAGGTCCCGCATGAAGGGGAATAAGGACCCGGTGATCCTGAAAGCCTTCCTCTCTCTGGTTCTTCTCCTTTTCCTCCGCTGTAACCTACGCTTTCCCTTGGCCTATAAAAGGGAAAGCAGGGCACCCCATGAGAGGAGGGCCAGATCCGCACAAGACCCAGATCACGAGATAGAAAACACAAGAACACGACATGAACACACGGCTGAGCAGCGCTCGAGCTCTCAGCACCCGTTCACTCTTTCACCAAAGACTTGAGATCCTTTTCCTCTCTCGCCCGTTTGTAACCCCTACTGCAAACCAAGTGCCGGTAACACGAGCAGCAACAAACTGAACATAGGGACGTTCTGTCCAAACCAGTATAAACCCTTGTATCCTCCGAGCACACCATCCGAGCCAGACGCGCAAATACAAATTTACTCATTGGTGGTCCAAAAACACCGACACCCCTCCGCCCTGTCACATCGGATGTTTGGACACATGCATGGAGTAGACCCGAAGTTAAGGTTCTTGTGCTAAAAAAGCCCACCAGGCCAACCCAACTAATGCTGCGTTTGTTTCCCCCACCTAAACTTTAGTCCCTGTCACATCGAATGTTTAGACATATGCATGGAGTATTAAATATAGACTAATTCTAAAATTAAATGTACATATTAAGACTAATTATAAGACGAATTTTTAAGACTAATTAGTCCATGATTTGACAATATGGTGCTACAGTAAACATGTACTAATAACATATTAATTAGGCTTATGAAATTCGTCTCGTACTGACCCTAAACTTTAGTTGTTGCATTCAAACAGGGCCTGTTCGTTTATTCTAATCCAAGTGGATGAAAGGGGGATCAAAAGGGGATTTTAAATTGTAGGGGATCAAATCCCTTCCAATCCCCATGGATTGGAGATGAAACGAACATGCCCTTAAGGTTGCAACCCTATAGGTGTATCGACCAAGAGGCTTTTATCTGTGTGCCATTATAAAAGTTTGTAATTATCCATAAACCATTAAAAAGTTTGAGCGGTCATATATGCCATTGGTCGAAACTCTTTTGTCCTCCACGCCATTCCATCCACATTGGATGCTAACGATGTCAAACTGAGCTACAAAAAGACTTAAATACCCTCAGACTAGAGAAGCGAGTTGAAATTTCATTTTCCTCGTGTGCCACTCGTTGGATGAGTGTTTTGGCGCCAAATTGAGGATGGAGCAGGAGAGCGTTCCGTTGGACGAGGAGCGTCATGCCCATCATCGCCGAAAGCAAGTACTTGTACTACCTGATAAAAAATGAAAACTACATAGAACTTTTGCATAAGACATCACAACAAAAAATTATAGCTAAGGGACAAGATACATCACAATAATCTTTTTTAGTGTTTACTTATATAGTGTTAGCAGGAATTCCTCAAAATACGTAATGGAGCTCAAACTCATTTAAGAAAGAGAGCCCACCAGACAGGCGACCACTATACATGGCGTTGTCTATATTTATCTGCGGGGGTTGTTGATCACAGACTAACAATATAAGAACCTAGCTAGTAACCAGAATGTATAAGCATTCACGTATTTGCCTATAAAGAAAAGAGGCAAGATGCATGAACTAATCGGCTACGTATGTGTATCATGTACATATAGGTATGCAACAAGCTAATAGAAGTATGTACACGTATATGCAAGTAGCAGCAGTAAGCTTCTTCAGTCACCAGGAAGGCGTACGTGCACCTGTGCAAGCCGGCCGGCCGGCCGTAGAGACGACGCGTTCGTCAACTTCTTCATCATCAATGCAACAACTCCTTAAATTCAAAAAATGCAACTGCTCCTTCGCCCATAACGCCCGAAGTGTCCATGATCATCGAATGCGTCGCGTTATGTGACGAAAAGGAGCCGAGTCTGCAGCGACCAAAGCGCGCCGTGGCGGTGAAGCAGCCGAGGCTGCGCAGCGTGCAGAAGCGGCCGTGGGGCTCCCGCTCTCTGCATCCTTAAAGATGGCGCGCCGCCCCGTCAGCGACTCCAGCATCAGTGCATCATCACCCCGACGAACGCGATCCAAGCCTTGGACAAGCGCCTACTCGATGACGACGCCGGCGACGGAGGCTGAAGATGGGGGTAGGGAAGGGTGTCCACGGCGAATTGTCACTGAGAGGTGCCGCACATCCCACCGGAGCGCCCGCAGAACTACTACGACTGCACCATGAAGCCGCATCCGCGCGTGCGCCAGGTGCTGTCGTCGCGGACGCAGACGCCGGGGCTGATCCTCTCGGCAAAGGCATCAGCGCGACCACAGAGGTCCTGCGGCACCACGGTAAAGGCGTTCTACGAACAGGTGCCCGAGCAGAGCACGGCGTCGGAGCCGAGGACGACGTGGGCGCCTCCTCGCGGCGAGGTACGGTGCGGTCATGGGAGCCGATGTCGACACGGGAGCTGCTGTCCGGTGAAGCCATGGAAGAAGACGACCTTGAAGCCACGCGCCCACACCGCCCTACGCGACTCGGTCGCCCGCCGCCCGTTGCAGAGGAGCCGCCGGGCTCTGTAGCTGCCGCTCCCGATGAGGGCATGCAGAGGATAGGGTTGCCGGCTAGAAACAAGACGGGGGCATTTTGGACATTTTAACTAGCCGAACTCATATGTCAGGATGGTTGAACCGTTAAAAACTAACAGAATATGACGGGAATGGCATCAAGGTAATTTTTTTTTGACCAGTGATACTTATAACCGCTCAAACTTTTTAATAACTTATAGATAATTATGAACTTTTATAATGGCACGCAGCTAAGGGGGTGTTTGGTTCTTTAGGCCCTGTTTGACAGGGCTTCACTTTACTAGTGAAGGCATTTTTTTTGCTTCAGCTCCACGAACAGTTTCACCGGTGGAGATGAAGCGGTTTTAGTAAACCGTTTGGCAAAATGGCTTCCCTGCGAGAGAATGTTTCTAGGGGCCTGGAGGAGGAGCCGGGAGAAGCCACTTTTTTGGCTCCATCCCACCCTAAATTACTGTGAGAGCATGTTTTTAGGGGCTTCACAAGTGAATCTATTTTACTTTACCCCGTTTAGTAGAAAACGGCTCCAAACGACTTCTGAAGCCGGTGGAGAAGCCCTGCCAAACGGGGCCTTAGCCGCTCATAAAATTCATGTCACGTCGAATGTTTAGATTCTAATAAAGAGCATTAAATATAGATTAATTACAAAACCAATTACATAGATGAAGACTAATTTACGAGATAATTTTTTAAGCCTAATTAATCTGTCATTAGCACATATTTACTATAGCACCACGTTGTCAAATCATGGACTAATTATGTTTAAAAGATTCATCTCATAAATTAATCGTAAGTTATGTAATTAGTTTTATAATTAATCTATATTTAATACTTCATATATATGTATAAACATTTGACGTAACAGAAATTTTAGAAAAAATTTTAGGAGCGCAGAAACCAAACAGAGCTTAAATGCCTCGTCAACCAAATCGACTCCAGTCCTGTCCTTTCTCCTTTTTCCTCCCCTCTTCCCAGTCCCGTGCCGCCGCACGCCCGCTGCCCGCACCGCCGCACCGCGCAGGCGGCCAGGCGCGCACGGCGCACCGACCACCGAGCCCTGGTGGCCTGGCCCCTGCTGCTGTATCGCGCTCGCGCATTCCCTGCCCCGCGGAGCCCCTGACGAGTGACGACGAGGCTGCTGGATCCTCTGCCGTCTGCGGTCTGGCCCTGAAGAGGACGAGAGGACCCGCCGACGGATTCGCCCCAAGCACCCAACGGCCAACCAAACTCCGGTCTCCACGGTCACGGATCCAATTCCAAGGTGAGAGCGAGACACACTGGTCTGTATGTGATATGTGAATGTATGTGAATACTGAGTATTGGTGTTTTTTCTTTCAGAAAGGGGAAAATGTCTACTCCTGGTACATCTTCGGCTGCTGGATCTCAAGCTGCAGCTGCTGGTGCATCTTCGGCTGCTGGATCTCAAGTGCAAGCTGCCGACGACGTGCGCGAGCTCCTCCTCTCCACCACAGCCGACGCCTCTGACCCGTCCACGCCCCTCTCAGCGCCCGACCTCCGCCTCCTCATCGACCGCCTACGCCTCCGCTCCGACCGCCTGCACGCCTCGGCCCTCTCCTTCGCTGCCTCTAACCGCGGGGCCCTCGCCAACGCGCTCCTCCGCGCAGCCTCTGCCGCCGAATCCTCCGCCTTCTTCAAGTCTTCCCTCGACTCCGCGCTTGCCCCGCTCGCCTCCTCGCCCGACCTCTCCGACCTCAGGGCCCTTGCCGACCGCCTCCTCGCCGCCCGCCGCGAGCTCGCCGAGCGACAGGAGCACCTCGCTGCTGCCTCCACAATTGCTTCGCTCGCCGCCCGCCTCCGCGAGGCCCGTGCTGCAGCAAGCCCCCTTGACAGGGCCGCTGCCGTCGCTGAACTCAAGACCTTCCTGATCGATCCTGACAGATCTGGATCTGGTCAAGACGACCCGGTCGTATTTGGGCTCCTCAGGAGCGACTGGGAGCAACTTGTCGACGAGGTGACGAGGAAATTCCGCTTTAGAATGATTCAGCTTATGTCAGGGTTTGCATTTGTGCTAATCGTTGTTGTTGGGTTGTGGTTATGATGGTGATACAGCTGCAAGTGGGGCTTGGGAAGAATGTGGAGGAGTGTGTGGAATTTGCGCCAGAGGGAGGTAAGGTGGTGGTGAGGGCTACTCCGAGAGGTCACTCCGGTGGAAGTCATGGTGTTGAGCTTCCTGTTGCCCTGCAGGCATTGGAGGTGAGTTTTACTGAGAAAATTCAGTTGGTACTTCTGCATCATGGGTTGACTGCTCCAGTAAGTTTGACCATAACCCTAACTTGTAAACAAAATATGCAATTGGTAATGGAACTTAGTTGGGAGCTTTTGATGGACATTGAATGGAACATAAGCTGTACATAGTTTAAGCTGCATTACCATAGAAATATTGAATACAATTGTTGTTAAAGATAGCTGTTGTCAAGGATTGTGGGCTGTTGTGTTGGACATTTAAGACACTGATCTAATCCTTCAGCGGCTAAAATTGCGACAACTTTGGAAAAAAAAGATATCTACGTCACTAGAAGCTCCACCAGGCACTACCTCCTTGAGTTCATATGCTATCTTCTTTTGATATGTTGTGTAGTGCGGACTAGATTGAAACTGAAAATACCTTTTGTTTTAGCCTTGGCGTGGGAACTAAGGAGGTAAATGAAATGGCCATCCACCATCCTACCCATGTTTAATCCTCTATATAAAGTGGCCATTTATTATGCCAAAAGCACACACTCACTCCTCATGCTACTCAATGAAGGAATTTAGGAGGTGTAAGATTGGAAAAAAAATGAGTCAAATTTACTTCAAAATTGTACAACAAGTATTTTGAAGATAGTAGAAGAGGCTAAAGCAACAAGTATTTTGAACTGGAATGAGTAGATGGCAGGGCGATGTTGTGCACCTTTGGTGGGGTAGCCTCTGGAGAAGGCGGTGTCATTGCTAGGTTGGGTAGACCTATGTGGCTCAGAGATCAAGAAGGATCTAAATATCAAATCCAAGTTAGGCACTTATTGATAATTTTCTCTCCTGTAAACAGAGAGGAGTTTCCTGACAACAAGGAAGCAATTGATGGAAGCATATATCCTTAAATGCAACTAATTCCTATTTATGCCTTACTTCTGTATCTCTAAAGTCGCTTACTTAGGGGCCAGACTATAGACGCGTCCTTCTAGGCTTTTTCTGAGATGGCAGGTGCTGCCATGGGCGCCTTGCATAAGTGTTGACCCCATATTACATGATAACATTGTACTCCAAATGTATGACCTTTTCATTTTCTTTGTTTTGCAGACTATTGATGCCCTAGGCTATGGGATGGCAAAAATAGCAGACAAGATGATGAAACATATTCTGGTTCCAGCAATCAGTAACATACAGGTGTCAGTGACTGAGGAAGGTGGTCCAGAACACTCTGTATCAGTCTTGAGTGTAGCCCCTTCTGAGGAAATAAAAGTAAGCCTTTCATGGTGTTTCCTGATTTCTAAAGAAAATTGTTTGTCAATACATTTATTCTAAGTAATAACTTTCTGTTTTCAAGGGCTACCTTGACCCAGTTTGTTGTCAGCTGTGTGCCTTTGCCATAGTTTTTCAAGACATTACTATATATGTGCTGAATGTGTATCTTCATTTTAAGAAACAATTCAACTGGTAAATATTATATTTTGTTTTAGCAATATTGTGCAGGGGAATTAGATATTTGTTCATCTGGAACACAAGCCGAAATTAGTTTTATTTCCTGATTACTTTCTGCAGATTAAGTAATCTTGCTTCTTGTTTGCCTTATGTAACTGGTTTTTACTGTTAAAGGACAATAAAGATGGTTCAAATCTGTACTCAAGAATAATTGATGTCATCAAGTTTGTGTGCAAATTCATTTGCATGGAAAATAGCAAGTGGGTTCAGTCTTTTGCAAAGTTAACCTGGCCAAGAATTTCTGATCTGGTTATCACACACTTTCTCTCCAAGGTACCGTTCTTCCTGATTTATATGAGGAAGGGAAGTCTCAAGAACTATCATTGTGAATTATGATTATCTTTTCTATCTGTAATGCGAGACAAAAACTATTTGTATCTTAACTTGCATTATCTTCACCAAGCATCTACTGCTGCCAGAACATATGGGGCTTTCCAGCAAGTATAGTTTCTTTGTTTACTGTTAATTGAGCTGTCAATCTTTCTTTTGCTATATAAACTAATCCTTTGATTGGTTCAACTACAACGATATGATTTGATTTGCAGCCATCGGCCTGTGAATGCTTCTAATAGCTGTAGTGAGCATTATGTGATGTTACAAAATACGTATATAAAATCACTAAAGTACATGTTATGTTAACCCTCTATTTTGGTTATAGTATCCTACTTTCCACCAATTGAACACTTGAGTCCTACAATAAGAAGAATCATATTTGATAGAAAAAGGAACAGTGACCTAAACTTAGTCACTATCCTTACAAACTACAAGCAACTTTGGGATTCGATGAGCTTCCTATTTTCAGTTTTCTACTTTTCTTGTTTGTAGACATTTTCATGATATAATTCTATAAGTACACTCTATAGACTATAATGATCTAGTGAAGTTAGTTTTGTTGATTGTATTCTCATTAATTGGACTTCCTCTGTCCTGAAAAGAATGCCATTCTAGCATAATACCGAGTCAAACCATTTTGGCTTGACCAAGTCTATACAAACAAGTATCAATATTTTTGATACCAAATAAGTGTCATTAGATTATTACCTATTTGATGTCATAAATATTGATACTATTTTCTATAAACTTGGTCAAACTTTAGATAGTTTGACTAAGGACAAACTTTAGATATGAGTTTTCTTAATATGGCGAGTTTTCGGGAGTAGGCTCTGCCCTCTCTTGTACTTTCTCTCTTTGCTTAATGAAATGACATGCAGCTCTCATGCACCGCTCGAGAAAGACCCCTTATAATTGCATCCTTTTCAGGATGGAGGTAGTATCTACTATCTACCAACCTAGCTATCGTTCGGTTCAGAAAATATATATATGTAGAATAACTAGAAAATACGTTATCCCTCTAATTCACACATTGTATTATCAAACTTACCACCAAACGAAAACTTGGGTCATATATCTTTGTAGTTCCATGAAGGGAAGAATCAAATTTTGTTGAAAAAGAACAGAGTGATATGAGCTAACTTACAAAATGTCCTTATTAGCCACAAGAAACTTAGGGTTCTATGAACTTCCTCGTTTAAGTTCTCTTGTCCGTAGACATTTGCATTGCAAGTCGGCAGTTGCTGTTTCAGGTAATTTTTGACTGATGCTTTAATTATGTGTTTTCAGGCTGTACCCAATGAGGCATCCAAGCTAATTGAGTTCCAAGATGTCGTGCGAAGTACAGCTGAATTCGAGAACAAACTTAGGAGCATGATGTTTCTTTCGCCTGATAGAAAGGATGGCAAGTTGACCCAATTTGTTGATGATGTTGAAGTTCATTTTGCTGTACGGAAGAGAGGTGAGATCTTGGTGAAAGCAAGGAACATTCTTGTACAATGTGATTATGATAGTCGTCTGGTGAGTGTAACCCAAGAGTTTCCATGTACAATGTGGGTTCATTTCTTCCATACTTATAAAGAGGCTTGTTATTGCAGGAATCTGGTGACCAAGGTGATTCTGTTGTTGATCTACTTTTTCAGCCAGAGAAGTGTTTTACATCTAAATCGGCACTTCTAGTAATGAAATTGGTTCATGGAGCCCTCAAGGTATGCCTGGCACTACATTCTTATGTTTTTTTTGTGTGTTCTACTCATCCATCGTCACAGTTTCACAGATGAGAACTACTGTTCTGTTCATCATGGCATGCATTCTTCCCATAGTTGCGTGCATTGACTATTGCATGCGAATGCACCGTTCCACTTTTTTAGTGTTCGTGAGCTGTAAATTCCTATTGGATGAGGATTTGATGCACATCCATTTTCTTGTTGAATAACCAGAGCAGGATGCATCTTTGTCATCAGCAAGAGTAGCTAAGGAGTTCTGCTTTGCTGCTAGGGATGTTTTGCTCCTTTATAAGGCTATTGTGCCAGTTCAGGTTCGTGTATGTACAAACTTTGAATGATAGTTTTAGGTTTCCACATTATACCATGGTTGTACTCAAAGCAAATCACACTGTATTCTAGTTTCAGTTCTATCTTTTTTAGCACTATTATTGTTTCATAGTAATTGACCTTTGTCAAATATTTTTTTTTTCCTGAAGCTAGAGAAACAATTTGATAGCTTAAGTCAAGTGGCTGCTATTGTTCACAATGATTTCTACCATTTGTCCCAAGAAATTCTGGGCCTTGCATTTCAGGTGTGCATGCCCAACTTGTTGCTGCTTGTATCATTATTGATCTTGAGTTTTGCTTGACTATGTTAGTGTGTTCTTGCTAAAAAATGCAGATATGTAACAAACTATTTATTCTTTATCTTCCATGTATTAAATTATGTTCTACTGTTATCCTATACTTTATATAGTTATTGAAATTCGTTTCATTTTGGGTTTGATGCTAGGGAAGGCCTTAGGATTTGCACTGGAGGAAGCCCTGTTTGTTTCAGTCGGATATTGGTGGTTTTAGCTTTTATAATCCCTATATGAAACAAACAGCCAGCTTCCGACCCTAGATTCCAGAATACAGGAATTTTACTGGATTGTAGCACACCTGATCGTCCGTTCCACTCCCCTTCCTGTGTTACCACCTCGCTTCCTGCAGCCAACACCAATAAAATTTCTTATCTGCCATGCTGTCTGAGCTCATGTACTGCCTCCAGCGGTCCAGCCCCACCCATCCTGCTGGTGCACTTGCAGGCAGTGGAACCCTTGCTGCCACCTACCACCAGTGACGGAGCGTGACCAATAATTAAGGGGGGGCCAAATTACCATTACAAATTTATCAGAAACAGTAGATGTTAGATTAGTGAGAAAGTAGTAGACTTATAGTACAATTTATAATGACGAAACCATTACGAACGTAGTCATATAATAGAAACTAAAATTTGGTGCTAATATAGGAGGGCATCTCAGGCCAAACTAGAGAGGAAAGATGATTAGAAAATTCATCAATCACACAGTTGAACTGTCGCTGCTCAGTCCTACCGTAGATGCTAGATGAGGTCAGTCCTGCCACTGCTCCTGTGCAGGTTTCATGCAAATGCAGAGATGCAACGGCTTTTCAGTCATTCAGTTTTGCAGTTCTGATGGTTTCACTGGCCAACCAAGCATATACTACTGCAAAGTTGTCTCGGACAAGGGGGGGCCGGAGCCCAGTTTGGCCTCCACAAGGCTCCGCCCATGCCTACCACCACTGCCCACTGCTCAGGGCCTCAGGGGACTTTGTGAAAACCCAAGACAAGAAACTCACCAAGTTGCAGCTGGCTGTTGTGTTCAAGTTCAACTATGCTTTCTATGGCGACGGGACAACATTGTTGTGTGATAAGATAGAGTGTTTACTTTGCACATGAAAAAAAATCTATGCCTCTACGTCCTGGATTGATCTTGTTTACTTCCAACAAAACAAAAAAGAACCAGTCTCATGCAGTCATGCTGTTGAAATTTATTTTTCCTCTTCGGGCAACCAAATTAAATAGCACTTTTTAAGAGATATTTTTCTTAAGATATTTCATGTGTTTCCAAAATGAAATGTGTTCTGCTAATCTTTGTGGATGCTTTTCTCCAGTATCGTGCAGATTTTCCTAGTGATCTACAGAAACAGGTTGTTTTTGTGGATTTAGCCCCAATCTTCTCCCAGATGGCAGATGCTGTATTGAGAAGACAAATACAACTCGCTGTTGATACTATAAGTGAGGTCATTAGATCTTTCTAATTATGAAGTTCTATTCCACACACATAATTACTTCTAGTTTTGAGCTTCTATTTAAATTTTCTAGTTCGTTGCATTGTTTTAACAGGCTATAGATGGCGCTGAAGGTTTTCAGAACACACACCAACCTCAGCATTATGAGTCAGCAAAATTTAGTATCGAGCAGGTCTGTTCCACTTGAACCCTGAAAAATGATGGGGACTTCATACATATTTACTTCAAAATTTAGTTCGCTTGTTCATTGAGCTAATTACTTGTAGTCCCAGTCAAACATTTCCCAGTGGAGAAACAAGACAAAACAACCATGGTTTATAAGTCCAAATTTGCACTTTTCGTGATGAAATTAACAAGAGAATTATGTATTTATAATTGTAAAAAGGGCGTACCCAGTGCAGAGAGCTCTCGCTGGTCTGGGGAAGGGTGTCAGTGACAAGCCTTACCCTCACCTGTGCAATGCGAGGAGACCGCGACTCGAACCCGGGACCTTCCGGTCACAAGCAGCAAGACTCTACCGCTTGCACCAGGCCCGCCCTTAAATGAGTAAAATACGCATTGGGAAGCCTTGTGCCCTGTTGCTACATCTATTCACCATTATTTAGGGATCTTTTTACCAGCAATCTCACAAATCATCCGAAGAACATTTTGCTTCAATCTTCCCTGGATCTCCAATGAAATAAAAATTGTCTTCTTCATGATGTGCCAAATATCAGCAGCAATCAATTTCAATTGTTGATGATTTTTTTTTCAATTTTTCATCTAAATGGACATTTCAGTTAAACATCATTATTTACTCTGCTGATCTATGGGTTCAATTCAGGTCGTGTTTATTTTGGAAAAGATACGCATCATGTGGGAATCGATACTGCCAAGATCAACTTACAGGAAAAGTATGTGTCACGTCCTTGGGTCTGTCTTCTCAAGAATTACAAGGGATATGCTTCTGATAGATGACATGGCAGCAGAAGAGACATTGCAGGTGATACATGTTATGACATGATGGTTTGAGGTGATACATGTTATGCCATAATGGTATGTTCATTAATATACATGCTTACAGCTTCAAGGCCTTATCCATTTGGCTCTGGAAAACCTCTCTTCACTATTTCTTTCCCTGGTTGAGAACGATGATGACAGCACAAAGTTCTTAGACCATGACACTTGGATTCAGTTGGATGGAATTATACCCTCTTTGAAAAAGTTCCGCAAGCTTGCAGGTATTTTGTTGGTTCTGATTATGGATTTGTTTTCATCTTTAAATGGGCTACTCATATTTTTTTGTTCAGTCAGATAACGCTGAAAATAATTATTGTTCAGAGTTGCTTGATATGTCATTGAAGTCCATCACATCATGTTGGGAAAGTGGAGACCTAGCTAGATGTGGTTTCACATCATCTGAGGTGAGCAAGCCCAGCTCCCATCTTTTCTTTAAAAAAAGAATCTTCATATATGTTTCATATACAATATCAGCGGCAGCACTTTATTTTTGGGCATTGACTTATCTCATAGGTCCTTGGATCTCTCATAACTGTCTTGCGCCCCCATATGTTTCTGTGTATCTCAATCTGTGATTTGCACATGTTTGTTACGGGAACCTCAGTATTCCTAATTCAAGCTACTGCATGACAACTTTATGATCTTTTCAATGTTGAAAAATATCCTAAATTTCACGTCTGTTTTCTTAGTTTAACCGATCAGTTTTTTTAATCATGTACAGGTGCAAAATTTCATCAAAGCAATATTTGCCGACTCGCCTCTTAGGAAGGAGTGCCTAGGATGGATTGTTAGGACGCCAGCTTAGAATGCAGAAGCAGCAGCATATGTCTCCGGGTCAATGATTTTTTTTTTTTCAAATTCTTTTGACCACCATGTCGTGAAGTATTAATTGGTACGAGCTACGTTGGCACTGAAGGAGAGAGTTGCAATCTGACTCCCCAGTTCAATACTCACCCCACTGCCTGGACCTGGGCTGATCAGATAAGACTAGCAAATGTGCATGTTGATATGTTATTAATGTCTTCCTGGTCTTAAGTGACATTTCCAAAAGATCTTAAGCAAATGCAAGGAGGTGAAAGGAGGATGGCCTGAGTTAAATATATAAGCTGCATGGCAGTCTGTAAACAAAGAACTTGGTGACCCAAGGTTATGAAGGAGATACTGGGCATGGAGAAGAAAATAGGCAAGAAAAAAAATGATTGAGTGACAATAAAATTTCGTTAGAACCGCTACTTTTTGTTATTATATGCAATCCGTGACGTTCTTGTGATGAAAAATCGTCACACTAATCTGCCACGTAACAGGACAGGCGATGTGGCAATTTGGCAGCACCAAGATGGGTTCGGGTGACAAGCTCAATTTGGTAGGTGCAACAGATTTGTGTACTACCAAAATTTGATTGGTTACAATATATATGCTATTCAACAACTATCATGTTGAATAAGTGATTCAACGCGTCAACCAACAAATCAATTACCCTGCAATCGTATTGGTTACAATATATGTGCTAATCAACAGCTATCATGTTGAATAAGTTATTCAACGCGTCAACCAACAAATCAATTACCCTGCAATAGTAAAGAGACTATCTGCAACTGTAAAATCCTGAGTGTCAACTATGACATGGTTCGCTACCCATAACCGTAAAAAGGCCTTACAATTCTGAGCGTTAAATATCCCATGCTGGTCTGCTAGCCACAACCGTAAAAAGACCTACCAAAACCATAGTCCGCCTCCCACATGTAAAAAGACCTACCAAAACCATAAGTGTGTGCTCTATAACATCACCTCACACAAATAAATACTCCTAACCCTAGATATCTCACTTTCCTCTTTTTTCTTCACTCTCCACCCACCCAGATCACAGTAGCGACGGCAGTGACTTCCTAGCACAAGGCGGATCCGGTGTGGTGCCCCTCCCCCACTAGCCCCACATCGGCATCGTCACCTGGCGGCAACATCCCCTCTCCTGCACATGGCGGCGACGTCCCTTCCCCTACACCAAGCAGCGGCCATGACTACCTTCTCCACATCGGCGACAACAACATCGCTTTCCCCGCACCTGGTGGCAACGTCTCCCTCTTCTACACATGGCGGCGGCGTCCCTTCCCCTACAACCAGCGGTGGCAGCGGCTTCCTTCCCCCACATCAGTGATAGCGGCATCGTCTTCCCCGTACCTGGTGGTGATGTCCCCTCTCCTACACATGGCGGTGGCGTCCCTTCCCCTACACCAAACAACGGGGTTCCCCTTGGATGGGGCTCCTCCAAGCGCAACGGATGATCATCCTCTCGACATCAGATGGGGGCTTCTCCGTGATGCACAAAAGATAAGAATCGATATGCATCTATTGTTGATTTGGCAAATATTTTCTAGTAGAAGTTTATTTATCAATATTTCTAGTCATCAATATATGGATTCAAGGTATACTTAGTCTAGCCCTTTTAGGCTTGAAAAAAAATCTCAATTCCCAATCAGTTGTGCATATGCATCCTAACTTTTGCCATGCTTATGCTTCGAGAAAAATATAGTTATTTCATCTAGCTAAAATTTCTACAATATTCTTGTATTTCTCTCTTATATTTTTCATCCTTTTTACTTGTATATAACCTGTCTTTTTTTCAACAAAAAGCCTAATCCAGTTACTTAAAAAATAAAAAATACATTCAATATAAATCTATATATGCATTTCTAGTGATTTACTAATCTGGCCACCACAGGATGCTTGCAGCCTTGCAGACAAATAAAACTTCAAATGCATTATAGTCCTTCTTGACTTAATTAATGCATTTAGTTGGGTTGCTAATCATGCAAAGAAACATCCTGTAAATCCTTCACGCACCCATTTAATGACTAAGGATTTATATTAACACAAAACACATTAAGTGTGTGTGGACATGGTCCATTAGCCAAAACATGTGCTTTCACTAAAATGGTTTGAATTTTCTGATTGATGACTTTGTAGTTTGCATTGATAGAATTGACACTGCTTTTGATCTTAATATTTTACTGAACTGGTGTCTTTCAAATGCATATGGTTATTGCAATAATCATGCAGGCAAACTTTATGAATAGTCCAATATATATAGTCTAATGGTGCACAGCTTCGCTTCCCATGGCCCCGCCATACAGTCTAATGGAACAGCGATGCTTCACATTATCGACCTTGTGATGGACATCAATGAATCCATGCAAAAAAAAAAAAAAAATGGAAGGGTGACTTTTGGATGGCAATCAATCCATGCAAAAAAAAAAATGGAAGGGTGACTTTTGGATGGCAATCAATCCATGCAAAAAAAAAAATGGAAGGGTGACTTTTGGATGGCAATCAATCCATGCAAAAAAAATAATAAACAAAACTACTAGAACCCAATCTTGCTAGTTTCACAAAAAAAAAACCAATCTTGCTTGGAATCCTAGGTGTGTGCGCCAGATAAAATAGAACAGAGTAGTAGCAACCTAGGGCATAATTATTTTAAAATACCGAAACAATGACAAATACTCCGTAAGATACTAGAAGAGATAGAATGGAAAAAAAAGAAACACGGCTAAGCTGTTAACGGCGGTTCCCTTCAAAATCCACAAAAGTAAATAAGAGGATAAGCCAAGCCTTCACTGTCCACCGTCTCCCTCCCTCCCTCCTTCCCTCCGTGCTTCCTCAGCCTCTCATCCTATCCAAGAAGGTAAGAACCCGACACAGGAACTCGCAGCAGCCATTAGCGCGCGCTAGCCAGCCAGCCGAAGTAGGCCGCAGCCATGGCCGCCCCCGCAACGACGACCTCCCTGCTGAGCACGCTGCTGCAGCTGCCGCCGCTGGCGCCCTTCTCGGGGAAGAGCTCGCCGCCGTCCGTGGTGCACGTGGCGCGCCGGGCGCCGACGGCGGTGGTGGCCGCCAAGGGGTACAATGTGCAGATCCTGGTGGACGAGAACGAGGGGGAGGAGTCCATCTTCCGTCGGTTCCGGCGGGAGGTGATGCGCGCCGGCGTGCTGCAGGAGATCAAGCGCCGTCGGAGGTACGAGAGCAAGACGGACGAGAAGAAGCGCAAGGCGCGCGAGGCCGGACGCCGCAACCGCCGCAGGTATGAGATGAACATGGCTGCGCTCTGGCTCGCTTTCCCTGATGCTATAGCCTATATAGACCAATCGAGCTAGTCCATGGATTGGATAGGAGAGTACGGATCCGTTCAGTTCAGGATGATGTGCGCACTGCGCAGTGCCCCTGTGCTTTCTTGTCGTTGGTGGTGGAATGGAACCAGTTATTCTTGAAATCAATATACCTGTCAACAATTACGTTTTTGGCAGGCTTAGAACTTCCAATGTTCACACCACACATGCTTTGGAATGCAGACATGCAGTTGCGATTGAAACTGGGACTCACAATTTGATTTTGATGTAGTTGATGGTATGAGCTATGGAAAGGGAGTTTGCATTTCACAGAAGTTGTTGCATGCCTTGAGCCCCTGAAAATGTTTAATGGGCAAGTAAAAATTCCAAATTTTCTTTAGTATTTCGCGGCACAAGTAAATGCAAGAACTTGACTTGAAAGTCTTGTTAGGTATTTGAGTCAAGCTGTTTTCCTGCCTTGTTTGTAGTAGTACTGGTGCAGTCATATAATATAGTGCATTCTAGCATTCAAAATTTATCCTAAAATTTAATGCATTCTAGAAGACAAAAACCAATTTTACATTAAATACTTTCAATTTATCAACCAATCATCATAAATCACGTTGATTATAGCGTCTGATTAGGAAATCAGATGAGGGTACATACGTCTTTTATGTTCTCTCTTAATTTGTCTTAAAATTCTTATAATGCACTGTATTATAAGACAGATGGAGTATTTGTGAGAATAGTGCAGTCATATTTGAGAGAGAGAGAGAGAGAGAGCTGTTTCCTGCCTTGTTGGTAGTACTTATGCACATATTTGTGCCATGAGAGTTATTTCCTGCCTTGTCGGTAGTACTGATGCAGTCATTTGCTTCAACGCATTTTCTTTTTAGTTTTGTTGTTGGTGTGGTATGTCGGATGAGTCATAACTCATGAGTGGATGTTGATTGGATTTCAGTATTGATAACTAATGCTTTTTGTTAGGGAAATGAATTGGATAGTTTGAGCCACACATGAAAGTCATAACCTTGCCAGCGTTTCAGCAGCTCCTCCCTCGGAAGTTGAATCTAAGTTGCATACTGTTTGTGCCGAAAACCTTGCAGGCGCATGATGGATGAGCCGAGGTTCCCAGAAGAAGACGCTGACGCGACCTCAAAGGCTCGGGACGACGACGATGACAACTGGGAGATCGATGGCATCCTGTGAAACAAAAACAACAATGGAGTGTCCATAAGCTCACAACGTCCTGATGCACAGCACAGACCTGACAAATTTGAGTTCTTTTTGGCCCCCGTACGTAAGACGCAATCCGTATGAGTTTTGGCCGTGTTCATTTCCACTTCAATTGTTACAAACAGTTGCAATGTACAACTAAATATTAGCAAATCCAGCATCCTCCCATATTGTGTCGTCGGTTCCAACGTCCTTGTTTTTTTAATTACACAATACAACGTTGATGCTCACAACACGCATGCGCACTCATCCCTATCTATATCTATACCTAATCTAAAGACAAGAAAGCGTGTGGTCAGGCTGCCCACACGGCGCGCCACGTCGCCGGCCGTTCGATCGGCCGCATCGACGGCCCAGATCGGGCGAGGCGTGGTCATTTTACGAAAAAACCCTTATGTTTTTGGGAAATCAACCCGCGCTCCAGAGGCCCTCTCAGAATATTTTGCAAATAACACCTCAGATAATT